TAATACTATTATTATTATGGCTCTTAATGTGTGTGTTTGTGTGTGTGTGCGTGCATTCGAATGATCGGCAGCGACCGCATTTTTCTTTGGCCATTTTCCCTCTGGCCATTTGCATTTGTTGCGGCAGCGTTTTTTTTTTTTATGGCAGTTGTTGCATGCACCATTCGTGCCTCTGTTTTGTCTATGTGCTGTTTTATCTATGGGCGCACTGGGAGAAAAATTCGAGCTGTTTTTACAGTAAAAGCATGAAATACTCAAGGTTTAACAGATCTGTATTACAATTAATAAACAGACTGAGGCTAAAGAAATTTTTTATAAAACAAAAATGATTGCAGTTCACCCAAAATCTTTTAATTAAGTTTTGTTCATTTTTGGGCTACAAACCAAGCAAAAACTTATAACTTCAGAAACTTTTTTATAGTGTACACATTTACGATTCTTTATCTCTCTCTCTCTAGTCAAGTAATTCTAAATGCCCGGACATCAAAAATTGAAAAATATGAAAAAAAAGGCATTTTTGGTTTCAATTTTAACTGATCGTTTAGCTGTACTATTATCAAATCCACTTACACATACACACACAACTAGATGCCAGGCAATTTCAATTTCTTTTAGCTCTTTGATATTAAAATTCATATTGTATCAAGATTTTTTCGTGTTATGTACTAAAAGCATTTCCCCCATGAATTCAAATCATTTTTTATGCCAATTTCTGGCCGTGTTTCCCATTTGAAATTCATGAATTTCAAATTTTTCATAGCTTTGCTACTTCTTCCTCTTCTTCTGCCTTCTCTTTTTAATATTCAAAAAAATGTCTAATTAATTGACTTATTTATTTGTTCTTTTTGTATTTTGTATTTCCTTTGGCTGCACTTCACTTGATTAAGTGGCAAACGAGGAAGTGGGTGGTGATTGTCAGAAGTAGGGGTGTTGAGGGTAGGGGTATTCCCTGATAGATTGTCCGCACTTTTTGCGCAATTTTCGTTGATTTATTTAGCATATTTTGATTTATGTTTTTTAATTTCGCTCGAGATGGAAAAATTGTCTGTCAGACGGAGGGGCACTGTGTTGAGCGGCAGGGGGCGGGGCAGATGTAGGACACAGAGGTCAGAGGGATAGCCCATCTAATGAGTCTGCAGCTAATAAATTTGCATTCGCCATGCATAATTTCTCAGAGCTAACACAAATGTCAAATAAATAAAAACACGAAGAGAAGAAATAAACATTTCTAGAGAGGCTCGATGAAATTTCTTTTGAAAGCAACGAAAAAATGAAACAATAATAAAATAAAATAACATTTTGCACAATTTTGTGTAAATGCTACTGGGAAATTCCCAAGGAAATATTTAAAAATCAGAAACGAATTTCTGTATAAATTTCAATGAATTTTTTTCAAAGAAATTTTCTTGGCAAAAGTTTTAATTTATGCTTGCAATAAATTTTTTATTTAAATTTTATTAAATTAATTTTCTCTATAACTTTACTTTTTTTTAAGTTTATATGTTTTTTTTAATTGTCATATAGAATTTTTTAAAATTCTATTCATAAATATTTTTTTGCGAGCATTTTTTTATTTATCATGTTTTTATTATGATGCTTTGATCACATATTTTTGTTTCATTTTAAATTTAATTATATTTTTATCAATTTTAGTTTTAATAATTTTTTTTTTTTTTTCAATGGTAATATTTTTAGTATGTATTTTTGTTACATTCAATTTGATCACAGTTTTTTTAGCCTTTCTTTGCCAATTTTTTTCTTGTCAATAATTCATTGAATTGTTAAAAGAATAAACAAATAGAATTTTTTTTCTTAAATAAATATAATTTATCTAAATTCATAAACATTCACGTGGAATAAATGTGCTAAGATGTTGCACTTTTAATTCATTCAATTTTCTATGATAATATTTTGCCTTTGTTGCTGCTGTTGCTTTGTTATTGTTGCTTTTGCTGTGTAAACACTTTTGAGCCGCTTGCACAGTTTGCCACACTTAATGTTTATTTGTTGTTTTTTTTTTCAGTTTGTGTATTATTATTATTATTATTTTTGAACGCACGTCTAGCGTCACTTTTCTTTTGCTTTTCGGCTTCTGAATTGCTGGTGCTGCTGCTGCTGCTACTGTCGATGTTGTTGTTGTTGATTTTTAGTACTGCTGTTGCTTTAGTTGCGACTGCTTCTCTTGCTGCGGCTGTTGCTGCTGCTGCTGTCGTGAGTCGTTTGGCAGTCGGTTTATAACTGGCACGAGCCGCTGCCAGCGAAGCAGCACGAACCGAATGCGGACAGACTGTTGGCGCTGGCAGCGACGCCGGCAGCGAGAAAGTTTGCGTTTGCATTGTTGCAGCGCCGCAGCGTCAGCAGAGGCAGCCAAGCGAATTTTTCAGCGCTGTAAAATAGGTACGCTCGTATGTGTTTGTGTGCGTGTGTATGTATGTGTGTGTGTATGTTTAACTGTGGGGGTGGCTGCAAGCTGTCAACCTGTTATGTTAAGTTCGTCTGTTAGCTTTAACAGAGCGTCGCCTTGGCTTGGCTTATCAGTTGTCGCTGTTGCATGTCAACGCTGGCGTCTCTGCCAACGTCGCTGCCAGCTGCTTTCATGTTAAAACCAATTCGTTTGTCATTTGTTTAATGACACAAATATTTGTGCACACTGCATCTATGTGTGAGTGTGTGTGCGTGTGTGGAACACAACTCATTTTCAATTTCCATTTTCTTTTTGCCCATTTATTGTAATAATTTCGTCTGCTGTTGTGTTTTATTTTTGGCGTCATAAAAGTTTTCCGACTTGTTTTCCACGTTGCCTGGCGGCTACCTCCCTGTCTTGCCCTTCATTCACCCCTTTCTCTTCCCCGCTCTTAACTTTGAGTGTTGCAAAGTGTGCTATAAATTTGATTACTACATAATAGCCCCCAATAATAATGCGTCTAATGACAATACTCAGCCAGGTGCTGAGAGTGGGTGGGGTTAAGCTTTTTGTTATTTGTGTTTTTGTTTTTGTTTTCCTCGTTTGCTGTTCTGCTCTGTTCCCCTATCTCTGTCTCGTTCTATATTTGTGTGCGCCTTTCAGGCAAATTGAATTCCATTTGATGACTGTTAAATTAAGTTGAAATGTTCTGCTGCCTTACGTCGCCAGTTCCAGACGCTGCTGCTCTGCTGCTTCGCTGCTTCAGTAACTGTAACAAGGACGTAGAGACTAGTAAGAGGAGGTAACAGCGCTCAAATTTCACAACCCTCGCAACAACAACAATATCTGAAGCAACAGCAACAACAATGTAAACAACTAAATAAGGAAGTGACACCGGAAGACGCTTCTGCTGACTGCGCTGCCAGCAGCGTCGCGTGGCTGGCAACGCGCGCGCGGAATGCGCAAAGGAATGCTACATTAAGCTGGCTGGCAGCTCCTGCCAGCGTTAACAGCAGCCCAGGGCAAGAATCACTCAAAGCCGGGCAGCAGAAAGCGACAGCGAGAGAGTAAAACACGCGAATGAGAGAGCTAATGCAGTGTAAGCTAGTTGAGTGCAAAAAGTGCGCTCTCGCATTCGCTCGCTCTCTATGTTACGCTTTGCCGACGCTGCTCTCGCTAGCAAAATGCCAACGACACCGGCCGGCTGAAACTAGTAAGAGCCATAGTCAGTCAAGCCTCAGCCCGAGAGCCGCACACCCACCCTCTCTCTAACTTTTCGCTCTCTCTCTCTCTCTCTGCCCCCTTGGCCAACTCTGCCAAGCACTTTGCAGTTTAACCTATAAAAATACCGCACAAACAGCGGCGACAGCAGCAGGTTTGCGACTGCTGCAGCAGCCGTAACATCAACAGCAGCATCAGCAGTAGCAACAGCAACAGCATGTAAAATGTTGGCGCTGCTGCTGTTGCGGTTACTTCTCTTAGTCTCTTTGCGCCTGTTACGCACGCAACGCAGTTGCCAACACACACACAGACGCGCGCGCAAATAATACACGAAGCGAGCGTCGCGACGTTGCTCTGCTTTTGCGACCATAGCTGTTCTTCTTCTTATTGTTGCTGCTATTGCTGTTGCTGTTGTTGGTGCTGTTGATGTCAGTGGCGTTCATTTATTTGATTTTGTTGTGATTATGCGCAGTGCATGGGCGTCAGCGTCAGCGCCAACGCCGTCGTCGACGGCGCGCTGTACCCAGCGACCCATGGAGGGCATTGAGTACTTAAAAACAATAACAACAACATGAGCAACACATAAAATATGCACTATGAGCAGGAGTAAACGACCTACAGATACCCTTTAAATATTTTTATAGAATATATTTGAGTCGGCAACTATTAAATATATATTTTTAAAAATCAACAGGAGAATACATCTACAGATACCCTAGTAAACTTTTTATTAAAGAATGTGAATGTGAAAATGTTAACTATATTGATTTAGTTGTTTTGAAATCAAAAGAAATAAATTTATAAGAATACATAAAAAGGGGTTATATTAAAAGTATTTCAATTTGGAAATTTTACTAAATTATTTAAGAAAGAGTCTTGGCCGAGTGACCTGCTTGACCTTGGCAAAAAGCAAAGAATATATGTAAATATGTACATATATACAGACATAGAGTACTAGATTAGAAATATTATGTTACGCTAAATATGTGTAGTTGATACTCTTCCATGAGCATCTTTTGTATACGCACTGCCCATACCCTGTACTCGGACCTGCGTTGCTCAGCGGTTTCGTCACGTAGTGCCAAAGACAGAGAGAGAAATGAGCCAAGCAGAGTGCCGAAGATGTGGGCGGAGGCAACGACTCTGGTAGCTATTTCTATGGCTCTGCTGGCTGCGGCTACGGCTACGGCTACGGCTATGGCTGTGGCTGTGGCTGTTGCTGCGATGTTGGCTCGTAAAAACTCATTGCCAGGCGCTCAACTGGAAATGCGGCACAGCCAGAGGCTGCAGGTGTCTGTCCAGCTAGATATATACACACAAACATAGCTAGATACTTAATTAGAAACTGGCAGTTTAATAAATGGAAAGCAGAAGGTGGGGGATGTCCGAGCTACTCAGGATTCTAAAGCAGGTTTTAATTGTATCCCAATACACACACACAGACACAAATAATGCAACGATTAACAATTAATTTGAATTTCGTCAACGCCAAAAACCTTATAGCAGAATACACCTGTCTAATCTCTCCTTAGATCACAGACAGCCTGCGATCCGACGCATGATAGCGTATGGTGAAGTTGTCGAAGTTGTGCACCGGAATCTCCCGGGTGGGCGTGAAAGCCGCATGCTCAATGACCGCCTTCTCGCTGCCGTAGCAGAGCAGCCAGAACTTGACCGTGTTGAGCTTGGGCAGCGTGCCCTCCAGCTCGCCAATCACAGTGCCACGATCCGTGTTCATCACCCAGCCGCGCACCCCGTTCAGCAGGGCCAGAGAGCGGGTCGCCTTGCGCATGCGAACGCCCTGCACCTCGCCGAAGACCTCAAAGCCGCAAGTGAATAACTGGTCGGCAGCCGTTTGCATTCTGATTGATGAGTACTTTGCGCGATATGATAAGGGATTTTATATATTTAGAAATTTGTATGACTTCCCAAGGCTCTGCAATTGCCTAAAGTTATGAAAAACAATTGAATTGAAACGAGCTGGTTCATACACATAATACCAGCGCCTGTTACGATCTGTAAATTCAACCCGTTTTCGGTGTTACCTTTTCATAATCTAAACTAAGTTCGAAATACCATATAGCTGTATGGTATTAGTATTATATAAGTCCAGAGTTGGGATGTAGATATTGTTATGAAAGCCCACTCATTAATAAAGGGCTGGCCAAATCGGTTGTATGAAAAGACTTTCCTACCCTTTCTCTTTTGAACTTGTTGACCATCTGTTTGAGAAAAACTAACTTTGAAAATACGGGAAGCTACTCTTAGTACTCAAGTGGAAGTTTTACTGTTCTCTTCTCTTCATCTATCCTCAGTATCTCATATACCTCTATTCCTATATTTGACTTTTCTTTAGCTTTAGCCCTCTGTTGATCATCAGTCCGCCCGGAAAGTACGCATATGAAAACATTAGGGGAAGCTAACTACCCTTAATCGCAGTCATGTATATCCGTGAGAACTGCGAAATTCACATGGAGGCTGAATGCTGGCGATGTGAAGAACTGCAAGTTGGTCTCTATTGGCAGCACCCTCCTGGCTAATCACAATGTATCTATTGTATATCGCCTTCTATATATGTACGTATGTATATACGATATCAGCGTTGGGGACTCATAAATCACATGCCGTACACAGAAGGAGACACACACACACACACACGCACGTACACAGGTTCATCTCTTGGCAATCCAATCAACTGGCAATGCCACAAAAAGTTAACAACAACCACCGTCTTGCCAGCCCGCCAGTCCGACAACCCGCCAACCTCCCCTTGTCTCCCTCCCACTTCCCTTGGCTATTGCAAAACAATAACTAGGCGAGATAAACAGACAACATTTGGCGGTAATGCAAACGTCGCTGCTGACGACGATTCTATGGCAAATATTTAATATCGTATTTACGGCAAGAGCGGGCGGGCGGGTGTTCGGATGAGCGGTCGAGCCACGACTGGGCAAAAAGAGGCCGGTGATAAATGACTACAGCGACGTTGACGGCGACGGCGACAGCGACAACAACACCGTTGCCCGCCATCTTCCTCTGCGCAAAGGCAGCGCAGCAGCAGCGACGTGCTCATTCAAATGTAACAGCACGAGGCGCTGCCGCGTCGCTGTCACTGTCGCTGTCGCTGCCTTCCGTTGAGCCGAAGGTGAGCAAGCCAAATCAAACAAGCCGAAGCGAAAAAATAAAATAAATAAATAAATAAACAATGCTTAAAAACGCAACGCTTCAAGGGATTTCGCTGCTGTCGCTGTTGTTGAGCAAACTTGGCTTTCAATTGCGACGCATAAAACTAGACTTGAACTGAACAAAAAGCAGCGAAGAGCGAGGCCAACGCAGCAGAGCAGCGAATTCGAGAAAGATACAGAGAGAGCCGAGCTTAGGGTTCGCTGTTAATAATAGCGGCAGCAGCAGCAACCGCCTGTCGATCACTAGTTAACAGCTGCATTTTAAAGCTATTTGCTGTTAAATTACGAGCGAGGTCAGCGCAGTACTGCAGTTAACAGCAAGAGAGAACATTTGAAAACTTAGCTCAAGTTAAGCTAAGACAACAGCTCTGGCAACTGTTAAGTCAGCCGCTTTGCTACGCTGCTAATAGTCTATGTTGTTTGTGATACGATTACGGAACGCCTTTCAAAACGAATTTCAACAAGATCTCACGTACGCACAAATAACAACAATATAGACGAAAAGTACAGTCCACAACACTGCCTACATATATGTATATTTTCTAATTGAAATGCAAATGAAAAGCTAAATACTAAAATTAGCTTATATATAAAAGTGAAGAGGCAGCACACAGAACAAAAAAACAACAACAACCAATCGACAACAAAATACAAAAATCAAAGAGGAAAATAAAAACCAGCTGAACGATAATTCAAACGCAATATGTAAACACTTCAAATCTGGGAACTGAAAAAACAAAGCCAACAACACTGCAAGAACTATAAATGCAAATGGTGTCTAAGAAAAATGTAAAGAAAGAATATAAAGACGAAGTAGTAACAGCAGTAGCAGCAGCGCCACCGACAGCGACGCAGCTGCAACAGCGCAGCTCTCCCAGGCGCTTGCAATGGAGTGTGCGGGCGTCGAGTTTGGGGTGGGAGCGAGAGACGTCGCCTGCTCCGCTGCTGCGTTTGGTATTTCGCCGTTGAACGTCTCGCTTCGTCTCGTCTAGACCCGGCTTGGCTTTTAATGCACGCACACACACATAAGTGAAAACTGACTTTGTTTGCTTACGCGATGACACAATTCTAAATCTGTGTTGGTCTCTCTCTCCCACTCCCACAGCGCTTTCGTATGAGTTTTGCCAGCAAAGGTTTGAGGTTTACGATTAGATTTAAGATTTGATTAAGTGACAGGATACTAGGAGGTAACAAATTAATAAATAAATGAATAGCAGTTAAATGACCCTCTGGGTCTTTGACATGTTATTTGCTCTCTGCATTAATTAACTATTTACCAATTACAGTAAATACATCCAATTTAGTGACTTTCCGATGTACGCACACACCTTAACTTCACTCTGATTATTGTTTACGCTACTTACGAACTTGCCAGCTTAAAAATAACGCAAAACTCACCTGCAACGAGAAAAAGTGAGAGAGAAAAAAGGCTGATTAACAAATGCAGCGTGAATGCAACTTGAATGATAAATCAACTGGCTAAAAATACAACAAAAACAATGACAAGAACAGCAGCAGCAGCAAAGGCAACGCCAACGCTAACGCTAGCGACAGCGCCGACGTCGACGCCAGCGGCCAAAAAAGGCAAACAATTGCAAAAATCTGCATGTGGCTGCCGTGCGCGACGGCCAAAGCGAAGCTAAAAATATTTCTGTTCGCTTAGATATCCAAAATTAGCAGCGACGTAGCGACGTCAGCAGCGAAAGAGGCAGACAGACAGACAGCGAGAGCGAGAGCGAGAGAGAGCGAACGACGGCAATGGCGACAACGTCGACGTCACTGTTGAGCCGTTGCGTTGACGCGCGTCGCTGACGGTTTGCGGCAGCGGCAGCTGGCAGCAGGTTGGCAGAAAGTCTGCCACTGATAACGGGAAATGGCATGCCAACACCAGCAACTGCTCACCACCACCTCACTCACTCATACACTCGCACTCACATCGCACTCACTCTCTCGTTCAGTTTGCTCTCGCCTACATACGCTCGTTCTCTCTATTCATGCAGTTCTGGGCAACGCTCACGCCAAAATAAACAAAACAAATGTAAAATGTGCGCCCCTTTGCGACGTTATGCTACGACCACCCCATTCTCCCATTCTTCCTCCCCCATTCCCACACACTGCCCTATGCCGAACCAGCCATGAAAATAAATATGTGGGCATAACAAAAATGAAAATTGTACGCGAAATGTGCCGCAAATGGCAGCAGATTTGCCATTAAAATGTACACAGAGGCCTTATGTTATACACTCAGTGGGTGAGAGCGAGCGAATTCCACAATAGAACGCGAGTGAGTGTGAGTGAGTGAGCGCTAGAAAACATAGACAAACAGTCGTAATATAATAAAAGAAAGAAATTGACAAAGCGCTAAAGCTGTGAGGCTGTTAAGAATCTGTTAACTAACAGTCACGTATTGAATCAGTCTGTTACGCTTTGCAAAGGCAATTTGTGATTCAATAAATTAATTAGAGGTTATTTTTTAGTCTTAGAAAAACAGCAGTGCTTGGATATTTGGGATTATGCTTGACTAAATATATTAAAAAATTGATATTTTTATGTATTTTTCATTGCGATTATTACAGCTTTTCTCACAAAACCAAAAAATTTATTTGGAAAAAAATTAATGCACTGCATTTCGATTGATTAAAAATTTAAACTTTTGTGCTAAATCTTTTGTTATTGTGGCTGTCAAAAGTCACTAGTGCAGCGTCTGTTTTGTAAATTAATTAATATATTTACGCGTAAATACAAAAATAAATCATCAACAATGACAAACAATAAATAAGATAAAAAGTGTATTTTTTTTTAGCAACAAATGTTTATTGTAACAGGCTGTTGCGTAGAAACAAGACGATTACACGATACATATATTTTTTATGTGTCGTTATATATTTAATTAGCAATTTATTTAACTGAACATATTCAAGCGAACTGCACTGTGAGTAACAGATATACTCATGTGTGTACATATTAGTTATATTGAGAGTGCGGCAAAAAATAATTATATAGAGCATATAAAGTAGACGTGTGCAGAGCGCAAAAGGCAATATAAAAATGCAAGTGATGGCCAACATCAGGGACGTGCTGACAAACTCAATTAGCCGGACAACAAGAGTTGGGCAATAGATGGAAACAACACCAACAGCGACAGCAACAACAGCGACAGTGAACCACAAAGGCATTAAATGTGCAAAATGAAAATTCCATCACTGAAAGAGCAAAATATTTGAACAATTGATTTTGTATTTTTCCTAGGCGTAATATTTGCAGTTATTTGTGAAAGCGCAAATAGGTGCATACAGAATGAAGTCTAAATGCAAAGAAAACTACAGTTTTGTCTTAACTCAACAAAAGGTTAAACAAAACAAACTGACTTAGTCAGCAATTAGCTCAAGTATTTCACATTACGTATACGTAACACAGTCAATTGAATTACATTATTATTCATACATATGTATTTAGAAATTTATTGCTCATATTTCGCTTCGAATTCTAGTTATGCTCTATATCAGCTACTTGAAGCTATAAACAGAAAATAAAATAAAATAAATTTTACATATATATATTCAATTTTGTATGTGCCATTTTTTGCAGCATATTACACATACGCCCTGTGTCAGTGAATAATTGAAGCACATATAATAATATAATAATTATAATAAACATATTTTTGTGCTAGTTCCATCTACCTCATTAAAATTTCTTTTCCATACACATGACACGATTTGCAATCAACTTAATTGAATTTTGCTTGATGCACGGCAAGCGCTGAAGCC